GTGGACATCATGAAATCCGTCCTGTTCGCCGTCGCCCAGTCGCTGCATGTCACCGCACCACCGGAAGTACTCTGGCCCGACGCGGGGTTGGTCTCCTAGCCTGCATCCGGAAAACTAAGGGCAGCTATCGATGGAGGTGCGGTTGCTGTGCGATGAACTACCGAAGATCCGCAATATAGAAACAGTGGAACAAGCCGACGCAGCCGTGACCCGACGCCACACCCTAACTGTAACGTGAGACGGCGAGCTAGCGACCTCAACGTTCTTATCTATGGCCACAAGGTGATCGCTCTAGTTGATACTGAAGCAGACTATTCCGTCATCAGTGGGCCGTTCGCCGCGAAGTTAAAGAAAGTAATGAAAGTTTGGGAAGGCTCCGAAAGCCGCACAGCTAGAGGTCATCTCGTAACGCCTGCAGAAATATGCACAGCTAGAGTCACCATTAACGGCCGTATTTATCCTGCAGACTTCGTAGTCCTACAGCGTTGCTCGAGAGATGTCATCCTTAGCATGGACTTCTTATGCCTCCATGGTGCTGTCATCAACCTAAGAACAAAGCCGATAATGTTATCCACAGAAGAAGCACTACCGCCGCGCACGCCGTTAGGAAACCATGCCTTGAATATGCTGGAAAAATAAGTCACCATTGTGCCTCGCTCCAGCGTCAATATTTAGGTAGGCGCTCCTAAATCACCTACTTGGAAGGCGTCGTTCAAGGCAGTCAGCAGCTATTCGTCAGCCGCAATATTTGCGTCGCAAGAGGAATTGCGGATCTGCGGGGAGGCAAAGCATTGGTTATGCTGACAAAGTAATGGTTATGCTGACAAACACGTGAACAAGGGAAAGAGAGTCACATACATTGAAGAAATTGTGGAAGCAACCAAGAGATAGAGAGAAGACGATGTTTATAACACCGGACGGCCTCTTGGAGTTTAGGGTGTGCTCTTTGATCTTTGCTCAGCACCTGCAACTTTTCATTGCGTTATGAATACAGTACTGGCAGGACTGAAGTGGCATACTTGCCTTGTGTACTTGGAAGACGTTGTGTTTTCCTCGAGTTTTGATGAGCATCTTCAGCGCCTTGAAGCTGTACTTCAAGCCATTAGGATGTCCAGACTGAAACTTAAGCCAGAAAAGTGCAGTTTTGCGTACGAGGCGCTCTTGTTTCTGGGGCACGTGATTAGCAAGTCTGGAGTTCGTGTCAATCCACGGAAAACAGCCGCCATCGCCGACTTCCTGCCGCCCACTGGCAAGAAGGTGGTGCGCCGATTTCCGGGCCTGTGCGCCTATTATACGCGGTTCGTGAAAAACTTCGTTCGCATCACCAATACACTCACTAACCTTACCAAGGCCGACGTGGAGTCCAAGTGGGAAACGCTGCAGGAACACGCTTTCCAGGAGCTTAAACATCGCCTCCAGACGCCTCCGTTACCTGCCCATTTTGACAAATTCGCCGAGACAGAAATACACACTGACGCAAGCAGCGAAGGTCTCGGCGCCATTCTTGTGCACAGGGATGACGGACTTGAAAGGGTTATTAGTTACGCCAGCCGAGCGCTATCTAAAGCAGAAGCCAATTATTCCACAACAGAAAATGAGTGCCTTGCCATCATCCTGGCTACGTCGAAATTTCGCCCTTACCTCTACATCAGTCCCCTCAAAGATGTGAGTGACCACCACGCCTTGTGTTGGCTAGCTACCGTGACGGACACTTCCGGTCACCTCGCACGATGGAGCCTGAGCCTTCAAGAATATGACACTACCGCCGTTTACAAGTCCACCAAAAACACTCCAACGCCGAATTTCGCCTGTCGACCAACCACCACGCGACGACCCAGATGACGACTACTTTTTGGTAACGATAACTGCCGACGATTTCGCTGAACGACAGCGGGCTCACCCGGAACTTATGGCCCTAATATATTACCTCAAAGGCAGGAACGCCGAAGTCCCGAAGGTATTCAAGCGCTCACTTGCATCGTTCCTCCTGTGAAACGGCCTTCTCCAAAAGAAAAACATTTCACCGCTTCGAGCCAAGTACCTCCTTTGGTGCCTTCAGCTCGGCGACCAGAACTCCTGCAGACCCTGCACGACGATCCGACGGCAGGGCACCTCGGTGTTTCCCGCACGCTCGCGAGGATACAAGAAAGGTACTACTGGCAACGTCTTACCATTGACGTAATTCATTACGTGAGGACACTCCGGGACTGTCAGTGACACAAGACACCACCGAGAAGGCCAGCGGGAATTCTGCAGCCAATCGAACCACTTCACTGACCATTCCAGCAGATTGGTATGGACTTACTGGGGCCGATCCCGACGTCGGCTTTCGGAAATCGGTGGATCGTGGTAGCTACCGACTACATCACCCGCTACGCCGAGACAAAAACCCTGCTTAAAGGCAATGCATTTGAGGTAGGTAATTCTTCGTCAAAGGTATCGTCCTGCATCATGGCGCCCGGGAGTTCTTTATCACCGACAGAAGAACGGCATTTACTGCCGACTTAACTCAAGTGATGTTGGCATACAGCCAGACAAACTACTGCCGGCTGACAGCGTACTACCAGAGACCAATGGCCTCACCGAGCGGCTAAACAAGACGATCACCGACATGCTGGCAATGTATGTCGATGTCGAACACAAGACGTGGGACGCCATTCTTCCGTACGTGACCTTCGCATTCAACACGGCGGTGCAGGAGACGACGCAGATATCTGCATACAAATTAGTCTACGGAAGAATCCCGGCAACAACGCTTGATGCCACTTGACCCATTGTCACCGACGAAGAAAACCTCGTTGTGAGTGAGTACCTTCAACGCGCCGAAGAAGCCCGACAACTCGCGCGTCTCCGTATCAAGAATCAACAGACGGCCGACAGCCGCCGTTACAATTCTTCGGCGACGCTTAGTCGAATACCAGCCCGGTGAACGTGTTTGGGTGTGCATGCCGATACGCCGACGTGGACTCATTGAAAAGCTTCTGAGGCGGCACTTCGGATTGTACAGGGTGGTTCGACGTCTCGGCCCACTTGATTACGAGGTTATTGCCGACGGCATCACGAACTCTCAATGATGCCGATCGTGACTTCAAGCCGTTTCATGCACGTTAACAAACTGAAACAGTGTTTTTTGTATTTTTGCTGTGTCGTAATTTATTCATTGTACTTTCTTGCATTATTGTTTTACTTTCCTCTTCCGTTAAGGCATCGGGACGATGCATTTTTCAGAAGGGGGCAATGCCATGTTCTTGTTCTCAAGTTTGTTATCACCCAAACAAACTACGCAATTCTCAGCGCGAACCTCGCCTGCAGCCTTCAAAAAGCTTCAAGACTGTAGTAGAAGATTTCGATAAGATTACGCTCACTCCGTGAACTGTACAGATTATTCTGGAGCCTACGTCAACGCTAGCGATAACGCTAGAACATTCGACGGCAAGTGTATAAATGCCAACGCGCTTCGCCACTTGTGAGTTGATCGACAACTGACGATCCGTTCACCGCTGTCGTGGAGGTCTGCTACTGTGATCCGACTTTCGGTTTACCGAACACAAGCTCGCCCAAAAAAAAACAGTTTAACCTTCATCCTATGGTCTGTTTCTTTGTCGACATCACGACCCTGTGACAGTATTATGCCTTGAAAAAGACAGACGTTTTCGTCGAAACGTGGGCTGAATAAACAAGTTGTTATGTGAAAGCGCATCTTCTTTTATATATATATATATATATATATATATATATATATATATATATATATATATATATATATATATATGTATATATATATATATATATATATATATATATATATATATATATATATATATATATATATATATATATATATATATATATGTATATATGGGGAGTAATAATTTAATGGGCCAGTTATTCTTAGTGAAGACGTGGTAGATGGCACAACGGGAGTGTTGTCAACCAGAAGAAATATATTTATTTTCCAACACTTTCAGGAGGGGCCCTCCCCTCGTCAGGGGATAAGTTATACTAACATATACGTTCAAACTTCGTTGCCGCCGCGTTATCTTTCTAGGCGGGAGGGACGCCACAGCAACGAATTTTGAACATCTATGTTAGTATAGCTGATCCCCTGACGAAAAGAGGACAGCTCCCGAAACTGTTGGGAAATAAATATATTTATCCTTGGTGACAGGGACAATGCTCCCATTAAGCCCAATCCCCCCCCGCAGATATATATATATATATATATATATATATATATATATATATATATATATATATATATATATATAATATATATATATATATATATATATATATATATATATATATATATATATATATATATATATATATATATACTGACACATCGATCATCTCAATGGGCGCATGAAAGTCATAGTGACTCGGCAATCGATGTGTCCTTATTTGACGTAAAAGGCAGAATGGTGTCGGGACAACTGCGAGGACAGCGGCAGTAGAGCCCATGAACTGGGACGAAGTACTGCCTCATATTGCATATACACAAAAAACTGTGAAGCACAAGACGGCAGATTACTCGCCGTTTTTCCTGCTGTAAGCCCGCTCCCCTCATAGTTGTCTGGACACTATGCTGTGTTTAACGTTGGATGTGGAAACATCGGTGCCGAGTCACTATGCCTCGCTGAAGAAGCCCGTCACCTCATTTGATTCGAGGCTCCTTGAGCTTAGATATATAAGTAAATCTCTTCTAACAATACAAAATATATTTCTAAGTGGTGATATCGGTTATTTTGCTTTAAAATGGTGAACGCTCCTTTAACTGCACAAAGCTGTGCTATGTGATATCATAGGTATTTTGACTGCATGCGAAGCATTTACCCTAAACACACCTGAAAGTTTTTCGCGTACACAAAATAAAACGTTGATGAGTTTTTCAATGTTTGGTCACATTTTCATGCAAGAAAAATGATGCCATTCCTGTCGAAGCACAATAGAAGCGAGAAATTCATTATTAAGATTATTCCTTACTCATTTTTATGCAGCTGGATTCACCAAATGCATACGTTTAGTCTGGGACACGCCAGCTGGAAGCGTAAGTGCTGTTGTATCTATGCAAATTGTGGTAATGGGAAAGTTTGGCGAGTGACTTTCCCGCAAGCAATGATAAGTGTTGAGTGTTTATTTTAGTGACTATATTCGAAGACGTGATACCAGTATACGCAGGAGAGGCAGTGAACTATTTAGGATTCTGAAGAAATCCCTCACTCTTGCACCCAGCACTTTATTGGTTGTTGAACTAAATTAAGATAAAATTTCAATTTATATTAATTATAAACGAGTCATACACACCCATCAGAAAGTGGATATGCAATAAGCAGTTATCATGTCGAAAAATAAGGCAAATTCTTATTGTATAGTCATCCGAGTAGTATGACACATGACAGCTAACATGCAAAGTAACAGAGAATACAATTTATGTTAAGGCTACACTACGGTGGTATATTTCGGGCAGTTGAAAACCCACGACACAAAATTCATACGAGAAAGCTTGTGAAGGCTAGCGAATACAGAATAAGCGTGCTAAAGGGAGAAGCATATATAAAATAAAAGTCGAAGTGCCCTTGGGCACAAGAAAAAGTATGTACTTTAAAACTGGCGCCAGCGTCCTCTAGGAGAAAATGCGCAAAACAGTGTAACGCATCGGTTTGGGCATTACGTTACAACGTTTATTTAGCAAACAGTCTTAGTACCTTTGTGTTCTGCTAGTGCTTTGAATTCACGTGTGCATAGTAAAACTTTTGCCTATTTGACACTTTTTGTTAAGGTATGAAGTGACGGCATGATCATTCGCAGCCGCAGTGAAGCGCTATGGTCTCGGTTTAGTGAAACCATGGTTAAATCTGGCATTATAATTGCTCAGAACATTGTATTACAATGGAATGAAAATCACTTTACAGAAGCGATGCTATTATAGCTTTGAGAACCATGGAAAATCAGCGTTAGCGCGTGGAACCAAACATGGCATCGAAGAGCTGACGTTGCAGAAGCAGGAAGCGAAAACAAATTTTTTGAATTTATTTTTTTTTAAAAAGAACACTTTAACAAGCTTTTTAACGTAATGTGTACAGAGGTGCCCACGAGGCGAAGGAAGACGGGAATGGCGTAGGGCAATAGAGGTCCTTTACAAATTCCTCTGCTTAAATTACGAGCATTTACATTGCCAGTAGCATGCCTCTGCGTCTTTAGGAATAATGTACGTATGCTGGCTAGGTTTGCACAAAAGTGAAAGACATGCAGGTGTCCCAGTACAAACAATTCACGAGAAAGTTGCATTGCATGTTCAATGCCAGCAAGTAAATCTTTCTCATCTAAAAAATCGTCTGGATCTCGCAAACAGCTCCTCTTTGTCCAAACGAGCAGAAACGGGTGTCCCGTTTTTTTGCACCATCTTTTTTTTTCATGAATATTTATATTACACAACACTCATAATACAACACAGTCTATGCAATATAAGGTACAGTGGTAAAGCAGAGACATCAAGCAGGTGAAGGGTTGTGCAAGCCGATCAGCAGATATTGCTCGCATAAAATCACAACACTGAAAATGACCACGAAGCACTAGAATGAAATCACCGAGCGAAAAATAGCTAATGTACACGCATTAGCGAACGAGTGTACTTGTGGCCACCAGGTAACCGGACACCATTGGGTACCACAGTGAGTACATACCGTAAGGATACGTGGCTGCTTCTGGTATTTACAAAAATCACCACCATGTGCACAAAGTGAGTGATGTTAGAGGAGCTTGCACGAAGGTGCATAAGGCGTTTCTCGGTGAGATCATTCAGTAGGAAAACCTTGCTGAGAACCTCCGCATAATGTGTACGTCTAAAGAAGCGTTGTCGGGCAAGTTCCGAGGCCGCTACAACGCAGTGTTGGCCACGTCGATCGGCACGTTAACCAACTGCTCCTTTATGTCATACTGGCCCCTGCCTAGAGTCAAATACCTAACGCTCATAAATGTCAGTCGTGTAGCGGCCAGGCGTTGTTCAACAAGGTTGACAACAGGCAGGTTAAGGAGCTTGAGAGGGGATCGTTCCCATGCGTAACACTCATGAGTAGGAAATTGTCACGTGCTATCGTGCCAAAAAAATGACGTAAAGGAAGTGCATGCTTCCCTCACGAAGAGGCAAGCATGCAGGTCAGGGTGCTTGGGAGGCTATCAATACCGGGGCGTAACACTCATCGTAGATATTCGTCACGTGCTGCTGTATTTATGAAGCAAAGAGAACAAAGTGGACATATTAGCGAGGAGGCGAGCGCGTAGCTATCGAAAACCTGCGCCTTGAATGGCAGCGCGCGTGAGCAGACAGATGAGGTGTCTTGCGTCGTATCGGTACTCGTGCGTATCACTCATTGTAGGAACGCGTCGAGTGCTGCCATGCTTACGAAGCGACTAGACCGAAGTGGACATTTTCGCGATGAGGCGAGTGCGTGAGCCATTGAAAACTGGTGGAAGGATAGATGGATGGATGGATATGGCTGTACCCTTTAGATCGGGCGGTGGCTAGCGCCACAAAGCCGTAATACTTAATGATCAATAAACTAGATTTATTTTTTCTCCTAAATAGTGAGGTTGAGGATTCGTACTTTGCAGTGGAGGGTTTAATGTTCATTCGTGCCTATACTTTAGCCACCAATCAGATAACCTCCTTCTAGTTAATTCTACCCACTTAAAGTCTATTTTGCCCTCACTGGTTCAATACCCCAGTGCTTTAATAAACTCTGCGCCACCATCCCGAGCTATAGGGTGAAGCCCTTTAGAGAACATTATCAAGTGTTCGGCAGTTTCTTCTTCCTCTCCACATGCACTGCATACCATGTCTACCTCTTTCTATTTGGCCCGATATGTCTTGGTTTGCAAAACTCCGTCTTGGCCTCAAACAGTAGAGAACTACCCCGAATATTATCATGGAGCTTTTCCTTGACAATTTCCTGCGCAAAAGTTCGATAAATCTTTAGTACGGACTTCTTAATCATGCCGATTCTCCACTTATTGGTCTCAGCTTCCTTCACCTCATTTTTAATCAATAATTCTTTTTGGTTTGGCCACCTGCTGTTTTCCAAGTATTTACCAGTCAATTTTCTGGTTCGCTTCCACCATTTTGTATCGACATTTTTCATGTACAAGTAGCTGAATACCTTCCCAGCTCAACGCTCTTTCCCGATTTCTCTCACTCACTTCTCAAATTTTATCTTACTGCTAGCTTCTCTGCCCTCGAATGATGTCCATCCCATATCAGCTTGTACTCCCTGATTTGGTGTATTCCCGTGAGCTCCTAAGGCAAGCCTACCCATTCCACGTTGCTTAATTTCTAAGCTTGCTTGAACTTCTGATGTCATGCACAAGACTACATTGGCGAACGTCAGACCAGGAACCATGACCTCTTTCTATATAACTCTCACAACACCATACCTATTGTAATTCCACAGTGCCCTGTTTTCCAATACCGCTGCATTCCTGTTACCTTTGGTCAACACGTATATTTCGTTTTCTTTTAGGTACTCGGCCCCATTGTTTATCCATACGCACGGATATTTGTACTTATCTGTTATCTCTTGCGTGACCTCCTGTATTCTAAGCTCACTACCTTCATCGTCATTAAAAATCATGACTGCTGATTTTCCCTTACTGACTCTGAAATCTAACCTATCTCCCTCATTACCGCGGATGTCCACCAATCCCTCCAAATCTTTCTTGTTGTCGGCCATTAGCACTATATCATCCGCGTGCATCAATGCTGGTAGTGCCTGTTCAATGAGTTTTTCTTGTTTGACGATAGAGAGGTTGAAGCCAAGTCCACTTCTCTCTAATTTGGCCTCTAATCCTTGTAGGTACATTATGAATCATAAGCGTGACAGGGGACACCCCTGCCTAAGTCCTCGTTTTACCTGTGCAGGCTTGCATGCCTGTTTTTCCGACTTTAAAATTACCTTTTTACCTTTATAGATATTCTTTAAAAGATTAGTGACCACATCTTCCACGCCTGGTGTGTCCATTATTCCCCACAATTCCTCTTGAACCACGTAATCGTACGCTCCCTTAATATCCAAAAATGCTAGCCACAGGGGCCTGTGTTCCTTTTCTGCTATTTCGATGCACGCGTCAGTGAGAAGAAATTGTCTTCTAACCTCCCGTGTTTCCGAAACCAATTCTGTAGTTCCCCTCACACCCCCTCATCCTCTATTCATGCCTGCAGTCATTCTTTTATAATCTGCATCGCCAGCCTGTAGACCACTGATGTCACTGTTATAGGACGGCAGTTGTTTATGTCAGCTTTGTCCTGTTTTCCTTTAGAGATTATGCTCATCCTGTTAAGTTTTCATCCATCGGGAACTTCTTTATCGAATATTATTTTTCTCTCTGCCTCTCTCAAAGCCTGTCTAGACTTTGCACCTAGTGTCTTTATCAGCATAATTGGAATGCCATCTGGGCCTCTTGACGTACTACTAGCAAACCTTTTCTCAACCCTTTCCCCCTCTTGTTGTGAAAATAGAGCCATTGCGCCACTTGATTCATCCTTGTCTATTGTGGTGCACAAAGCACTTCTTTGTTGAAATTTTTTCTCACCCTTGTTCTTATATATTCAATGGCTTCGTCCCCTTCTAGCCTAGCACCTTGAGCTGTTGTTAAAAACCTCTGCTCTTTGCTCCTCTCATTTGATAGAGGTTTGAATGGTTCTGAAATTTCCCAGCTGCCTTTTTATCTTTTTTATGTACTTCTTCCAGCCACTGGGCTCCCTTTCTTTTAATTTTTTCATTGATCAGAAGGAATGCATCCCTTCTACAGCTTAGAAAGATTTCCCTTTTTATTTCAACATCAACTGTCGGTTCACCGCACTGCTTAGCATGTCTGTGTTCCCTAGAGGCTTCCGGATGTTTTGCTATGGCTTTCTTAGCTTCCTCATTTCACAAACTTTTGGGTTTGCGTCTTCTTTTTCGGGGTGACTTGTCACGTGTCTTAGCAAGCTCTAGCTCAAACAGTTTAATTAGACTCGCCCATGTCTACACTGTTTTAGTATCCTCAGTGATTACTTTCTCAATATGTTTAGTGGCTATTTCAATTGGCCTTTCTGAATAAAACTTTCCTTTAGTTGCTCATCTTGTCTCCTTCCCACTTTCACTGCTCTTCCAAAACTTAGCTTGATACGTTTGTGATCACTACGCAGACTTCTGGAGCCACCTTCATCTTTGCGCATTTCCTGGAGCTTTTCATACATCCTATGTGACATAAATGCGTGATCTATCGTCGAGTGCAGTCTTCCTACCTCCTATGTTATTTTCCCCTCACACTTCTCGGTACTGTTGCAAATGATTAAATCAAGCATTTCACACATATCCATGATCATTTAGCCTGTCGGATCGGTATACCCATCTATGATTTCTATGTGTGCATTCATATTTCCTCTATAATTATCTCGCACGCTCCTCCCAACTCGTGAATGTCCTTTGATATACACTCAGCCATTGCCTGGTTTTCCTTACTGGCCTTCGCTCCCGTCCACAAGTACACAAAACCAAGGAGTGTCATTTGCCCTGCCACTTTCTCTTTTAGCCAAAAATGTTCCTTGCACTCCTGCTTGACCCTTTGCCAGTCTATACTTTTATGAATGGTGCCCTAACACCACCCCCATTTCTGCTATCTTCTTTTCTATTACAATATTTTCACACGCAGTCCAGTTTCTTAAGAGATTCTTACATGTCCCTAAGATGTGTTTCTACAAAACTGTATACCATCGGCCTTTCCTCTCTTAGCTGTTCTTTTATCTCTTCCCACTTCAGCCTGTTCCTGCCACCCTGGATGTTATAATACTCCATGCCTTAATTGGCTCGGCGTTCGTGGCTACGTCTACTTCTGCCCCGGACACTACCTATCTTAGATACTGGTGCCGCTTTGGAATTGTATCTGTCCATACCACCTGTCAAAGTGTCTCCCTGGTTGTTTTCTTCGTTACTAGCTATCCTGCACCCCGAAGGGCGCACGTTCCCCCCAAAAAGCTACTGGGCGTCCTGCAAGTCGCCAATCCACCTCAAGACCTAGCTGCCCATCGAAGTGAATTCTGTCTCGTTGAAAATCACCCCACCTATGCGCCTTTCTGTTTATTTCCACCACCTCAAAGCCTTTCTTTCGACTTATCCGCCATATCTCTTGGTTTGCGTGAACAACTGCTCTTTGCAGATTGCTATCACGCACCGGTACCTCCGATATTGTGCATTTCGCTACCTGTACCTGAGGAGAAGTGGCGCGCATGTCATCGACGCCTTTCGCCAGTGTATTTGCTATTCCTGCTGTATCTTCATTTAAGACATCGTTTAAAACCGCCTGAAATTATCAGTCAAAAACTTTGTCTTTCATCCTTGTCATTGTGGTGGATCGGGTTACTGTGCGCCATCTAGTGAGCATGGTTGGAATCACTAGGTAGGTGACTGAAGTGGCGACCGTGACGGTGACGCGAGAAACGTACAGTGGCAACAATGGTCTACATGCCTGCGACACCCTGAAAGGCCACGAGGCTTAGGATCAACGTCCCAAAAACAAAAGATACATACCAATAAAAAGCTATGGACTAATTCAATGTTAGAACAAATTTAGGTGCGCACCTGCACATTCACTACGGATGTCAAAGCAAAGCAACGCAGCTTTTCCACTTGTTGCTGATGAGAAAATCTAGTGCCATAATGAGTCGATAACGTCGAGCATGTGAATGTTTATTCAAAATGATGAATAATAGGATTACTGTAATAATAATATTATTATTATTAGGGATACAAAAGTTTTTACATCGCAAAACCGCAATAAATTTATGAGAGATGTGGTAGTGGAAATCTCTAGAAATTTCCACCATCTGATGTTCCTTAAAGAAGCACTCACACCAAACCGTTAAAGGCGAGATATTAGGCAAAACATATTCTTGTGGTGACATGCAGACATCTACGAGACATCAAAGATGAGTATAGCTTACAAGATGTCACGATGTTGTATGGGCTTGGTGCTGGGACGCTACCTCTTCTCGGTCTACCTGCGCTTCCTTCATCCGTGCCTTCGACGTCGCTTGTGCTGGCTGTGCCTGTTGTCAGTGTGGCGCCCACTCGCGCATGCTCTCGAGTGCGGCGCCCGCATTCCAGTTTCACGTGTTCGAGTGGCCACCTGTGTTCACGTTGCCACAGAACTGCTCCTAGCTCAGTGCTCTTTGGAAGGGAAACTATGACTGGGCATTACAAAAATTCTTTAAACGAATAACTATCGCACACTCCCGCAAACCAGGTTTCCAGGTGTGAAAAATGTGGTATAAGCTATATATTGAAACAAAAACAAGGTGCAACATTTTAGTGTAGGTACTCCTTTAACGTGCATTGACATTCCACTTCACCTCCATGGAAATTGGAGTGCTGTGGTGATGTCCTCAACATTATTTTAATTCAATCACGTAAAACCAAAGTTAAGCTCAATTACTGGTGCGCACTGCACAGAATTTACTATACTTAACTCCTACTAAAGTCAATTTCAGAAGCCCAGGCGAATGCCTCAGTTAGCTGATAGTTTACAAATCCAATATTGAACAACTTTAAGCTAGAAGAGGAGTCAGAAGTGTGAAGAGTTATTGAATTTAAAGGAATTAGTTTCTTTCCAATTGGGCTTACGCCATGACAGTGGACGAAAAGACAAAGCTGTCCAGGAAGTCAAAGTTTCTGTGCACTCTCTCTCGCACAGCTCCTTCCTGTTTGCATGGAGACTCTCAACTTTCTATTCCATTCTAATTTGCCTAGGCAGTGGATGATTTTAAGTTAGTTTGATAAATGAAACCATTTTTGTTTCATCAAATTTTCAAAAAAGTAGGAATCTATCGTACCAATTTTGTTGTTTTAATTGAAAAAAGTTGGTGGAACAACACAGATGAGGCGAAAAAACCTAGGCCTGCACGGAACCAGCAGCACACTTATAGACGGCTCCACGATCACCTTTTCTAAAGTGTTTTTAAACACTCTTGGGGCAGCTATTACAAACACGCTTGCATGTTACTCGCTGCGTCACAAATAGTAATAGTTTTTACGTTGTAGGGAAGCGTAAATTATGCCATTACTCATCAATCTTAGGAAAGCATACTACCTGGCCGCTACACACTTGTAAGTAATTACGTGAACATGGTAGATGCTGTGATTGACGACGATGAATATTATGCTACAAGCTTTCTTAACGGCTTAGAGCACTCAGCGCTCTTTTTGTGACGTAGTTGACGTACGACGCCTGCTTGTTACGTCAGTGTTCTAGAATGCTTTATTACACACATTATCAGAAATACTTTCCCGACATAAAAGCCGGCGTAGAGCAGTTTGCATGAAGCACCGGCGTAGCTCAATGGAACACATGGAACATTTACAGCAGCTACTTGTTCATTTGTTTTCCTAATTATATTCGCGCTCAATTTAGTATTGTGTATTTCGGGCTTTACAGTGTTCAAACTTCTCTGCTTCTATGTTATCCAAATATAGTTTGTGAAACAACACTTCTTTTCCTGTCATCAGATAACTATAGACTGCAGCAAATCATGCCAAGGTGAACATCAACCAAATGCAACCCTGTGTCTTGTAAGTATGCTGTCTCGGCTTCGACAATATCAAACATTTCTTTAAATTTGCGTCGCGGCAATAATAAAAAATTAACCCACGGCCTCATTGTCAGGTCATTTGGTCTTTACCAAACAGGGGCACACGTTATCTCAAGCAGTCACAGAGACATAGTCTACCCCTGTCGCTAAATAACTACGAAAGGGACTAATAATGAAATCTATCATGTAATCACGCCACTAGAGGCTAATAAAAGCAATTGGATTTATTGTATTTTTTGAAAACGGACTGTTCTTTTTTCACATTTATTTACAATTACTTCTAGTAACCTCCCCTATTCTTTCTTTGGCATGAATGTTAAATGTGTGTAACAAAAAACGAGCACTTCTTTAGCTGGAAGGAGAAACGGATATGTTCTGACCATGTGTATATAGACTAGATATTAAGCTACAGCGGCTGTTTGAACGCTACCAGGCACATTAAAGCTGTATAGTGCAGCTTTTCGCCTGACGGACCCCGGAAATTTCTGGTAGAACACAAAAATACTTTTGAATAATAGGCACCTTGGGATAGAAAAGGAATAGAGAGGGGATGGCTGTGCTTTTAAGCTGTTATATGAAGCGAAGAAATATTTAGGCAGAGGAGAACTCAATTGAGGGCCTCTTTTTATGTTCAGATTTGCAGCGTTTGAAAGAAAAATGGAAACATATTTGAACAAAACCACTGCTGCCTGTCTTGACGAAATGCAGAAGCTCAGGCATATATTCATGAAAAAATCATAATTTAGATACTGTGGAACCTCCTCTTTCAAACGCAATTTTAGGTTTCCCTCCTCGTCTTGTCCTGGGTCTGCTAACAAGCACCACTTCTAATAGTTACACATGTCATTCTTTTTGCCAGGTCGAGTCACATGGCTTTAGGTATTTCTACAAGTGGATATTACGTAAATACAATCCCTCGTGTGACATAAACTCATCAAACTAACTGCACACTGCCTAACGTCTTGTTCAAGTGAGCATTCAGGCTAAAATTATAACCTTGTTTGCACCAGCCATTCTCTCCGAAAAATATGTTATAGTGACAAATGTCATTGCTGTTCTGGAAGGAGGCTATTATTCTAACAATACTTCGCTCCAAAAAATTTCACAGACATATTCACTCAAGATGTTAGTCCATGTGCATCTCAACCTTTACCATAAAACCATTCCTACAACTTGGTAGTGATGCTTGGTATAATCGAACACGCACTCTGTACCAATGCTTGAAATATAGGAAGATGTCATAGACCATGGCTGTAGGCGATAAGGGCGTAAAAGAACACAGACGAAGGGAGTAAGAACGCACACTGGCACTTGGTTCTTTTTCTGCGTTTGTTTCCTCTAACAAGCCTCGAATGTTACTTTCGTGATAGATCATACTACTTCGCTATCCCCAATCTCTCGGTGATTCCACCCATTTCTCATTTTTTATGGCATGTATATAGCTTCTGCTTTAGACAACACATAGCTGCCACTTGAAATTATTAAGTTTGATGCCAAACCCCAAGCTAACTACGCGCAGACAGTTTAATTGATATTGTTACGTTAGTAACAAGTCACTTACACTGCGGGCTATTCATAAAATTTATTCGCAACAGTGGTTGCAGTGCTAGCCAGTCCGTCTCTTTGCTGGAGCAGCAAGCGACCTTCGTCTTCTTCACCGGGTGCACACGCGCATCGACAATGTTCATTTCGGTAGCCTAAACGTATCATAACCCCTGTTGGTAAAGGCGCCATGTCGGTGCATCTAAGCATGAACGCTATAGGGCGAGTGGTACTGCTTAAGTGGGCGACGTGTACGATGTAGCTGGCCTGAGGGGTGGAGGAAGACGACCAGGCAGCAAGAGCGATTCAGTAAGGGATGGGAGTCACCACACGAAGCACTCGGTATGGCCCTGTGTAACGAAAGAGCAGTTTGTCAGACAGGCCAATGTGCCCGCTAGGAGACCACAGCACAACCAACGAACCAGGTGAAAAGTAAACGCTGCGGTGTCGTTGATCATAGCAACGCCATTGGTTTTTTTTTTTTGGAATGTCAGAAGACGAGTACGAGCGGCTTCGCTTGCATGGTTGATCCGGCTGATGGCGTCCAGGGCACAGTCAGTTGTCGGAGCGGCTGGAAACAGAATGAAGGTATTGAGGGACAATGTGGGTTCGTAGGCCAACAATGGAAATATGGGGAATAGTCAGCCGTGTCATGGCGCGAATGATTGTACGCAAATGTCCCGTACAGTAGAGAAAGGTTGCCGTAGGAGTGTTTTGAGGAAACATACTTCGAAAGCATGTCAGTTATGGTTTGGTTCAGACGCTCCCTGGGGCAATTCGTTTGCGGGTGGTACTACGCAGTGATCTTGTGCCATGTTTCCTATGAGCGCACGATGTCCGCTATCATTCTCAAGAAGAATGTGTGGCCTCGGTTCATGAGCAGCTGGTGTGAAGCACCTTGTTGCAAGATCACGTCGCGCAGGAAAAAATTGGTGATATCTTTGGCGCAGCTTGTTAGAAAAGTGCGTAGGATGGCGTTGTGACTGACGTAGTCTGTGGCCACAGATGTTGCCAGTAGAAGACAGGGAAAAAGGGCCTTGTAATTTCCGTAAGAAAGGTGCAGAAGAAATGTTGAGTGGAAGGGATCAGAAGCAATGTCGAGTGGTTGAAGGATCCCACGCGGAAGCGTCGACCGTGTTTTGCGGCAATGATATTCCTCACACCCCACGACATATCCTACGACGGACTGTGCGTGACCTGTTCAATGGAATCGACGGTGAACCCGGTTGTGTGTAGGAGACACATCCAGGCGGCTGACTGGCAGTTGTAACATCGTGAAGTTAGTGGAGTAAAGCTTAGCGGAGGTGTTTGTGCATAGCAAGCAGCATAGATTGGCAGTATGGATGGAATTCGTGGTGGTATAGTGTGTCATTGTATTGTACGAACAAGCTATGAGATTGGTCCCATGATTAGGATTCGAGGCGCTCGATGATAGCTTGCAATGATGGATTATAGCGTTGCTCATCGGCTATGTCTAATGGGACAGTCGGAAAACGGAGCAACGCAAGCGTTATTCTCATGAACGGTGTGTGACTCACTTACTGGATAACTAGAGAGAGAGAGAGAGAGAGAGAGAGAGAGAGAGAGAAAGAGAATAAAACATTTATTTGTAATAAAGAGGGTGCTGTAGTAATTGGACCTCCTAGTCCGGAAGACCATTGGCTCTTGCCGCCAACCAAATTCGGTCGACCAGGGCTTGTTGCTGCTCTTGGTCAGAGCTGGAATGGGTTGCCTCCCACTCGACTAATGCAGGATTATAATTGTCAAATATACTGGGATCATTTTGGTACTTCCACACCATGTGAAATAAAGTGGCCGTTTGGGGACAGAATTCACCCTGCGTATTTTACATTGAAAGGTCCATCTTTGACAAAACATAAAATGCTGATGATTATAGTCGTCTCCACGCGACCTGCCATGCCTTATCTAATTTAGGGTCAGGGGGGGGGGGGGGGTAGAGTGCGTCTACTCAGCCTGATGTGTTGCAAATTGTCTCTATACGAAAGGAAAGGCTGGGGATCTTCCTGGTCAGCAAGAAGGTATGCTGTGGATGAAGAAGTGGAGGCCCGGTGTGTCAGATCACGGGCGGAGGCGTGAGCGCGTTCATTGCCGCTAACTCCTGTGTGCTCTGGTACCCACAGCAGTTGTACCCAATGACCCTCCGGAGTCAGCATTTGCAGTGAGAGTGGGGTCTTAAACACCGGTGAGGGAGCAGCTGTCATCTTCATCTATCTCTATGTTGCGTCTAGAATTTTTAACTGAGCGGCCAAATACGCCCTTCTCGGGACCGCCAATCTAGCGCGAGCGGCGCGAGGAATGTGAAGTTTGCTAGGCTATCTCTGTGGAGATTGTCTCCGGCAATTTTGACATGGCGGTGTTCATTACTGATATTTGGATTTTCACGGTGGCGAATCGCGTGTCTATGACTCGGATACGGGCCATACACACCCCCCTTAATTGCTTCGAATTCAGCGGGCCTTCCTCGAATGCGGCGTCCGCGCTTGTTCCCCTTCTGGGGCCACGAGCTCACTTTCCATTACCTCAGCCGCAGGATAGGAAGGGGGAGAAGGAAGCTGGTTGATTTTGGATTCTAACTGCAGAACTTTTTTAGTGGCATCTCGTTTTGCACCCTGAGCAGTAGTATTTCATGTTTTTCCGCGCTCCGTGCCAACGGATGGGGAGTGGGAAGGGGGATACGAAAGCAGTCCTACTCGGACCACTCACCTGCTGCCCATTTTTAACGGCGTTGACCCAGGCCCCCGTTTGGCCTTGCGCCTCCGTCGCTCGTTTCTCAGGGTCGTCGTGTGGTTGAGAATCTATCGACGGACGCATTCCAGCACCCCCAGAAGGTTGTACTGACTTGTCATTTTTAGCGTTGTCCAGCCGAGGCTGCTCGCTGGGTAACACGAGATGACGGCTTGTCTTTTTGGGTGCCGGTTTTTAGGGGCGAAGCTCCTTATGGCTTTGTTTGTGTGCACCTCGTAGTACGTAAGCACAAGTGGCACATACCCGAAATAGCGGTCCTTAAAATGTCTGCTGCATGGGGGCACTTGTATATGATGAATACATGATAAAAAGATGTGAGATGGCTGTACTTGGAGTTTTCTCTAGACATATGGACGGACGAACGGACTGACACACGCACAGACGAACAGACAGAGGGGCGCACGGACGGATGGACAGACAGAGGGATGGCCACAAAAAGATATGGACGGACAGACAGACGAATGAACAAACGGACGGATGCACCAAGGATCACACTGATAGGTGGACGCAAGAACGAATGGACAGAGAGACTGACAAACGCTGCGCCCCACCAATCATCATTAACTCCGTGAATATGCTGTGATTTTTCTTTTTTGCTGCCTTTTGGGTAGGTCAACTTCAGTGTTTGGAATTTCGCCGCACATTCGAGAGAGTTGGTGGCATGGGCACCACCACACACGGAACACCGGGCAACACAGATGTGAGGGGCCCGCACGCCCTCCACTAGCGGATCGTGGAGTCCACAAAGTCTACGTGTGTTCGGCTGCAGATTTGGGCATGCATCCTTGCGATGCCCGACGACTCAACACTGGCTGCAGGCCGGGATAGTTTCAAAGTAGTTTTGCACGGAGATGACCATATTGTCATAGTGCGTGGAACTAGGCTTCAACTTACCCGCGTAGGTTATCCGTGCCTCGTTGTATGTTCTGAATTTTCGTACTACCACGGTGGTGCCGGCGCGCCAGCAGACTTGTTGTTGAAGAGTTTCCGCGGTGTCCGTGTTACGGACCACGATCACTCTGTGGCAGATGTTGCCGCCGTCATGTCTTCGGTAACCCTGGAGCAGGACTGACCTTTTCTCCGAATTCACTGCAAGAACCCCGATGAGCAGGTCAGCCGCCTCGATGTCCGGGGTATGCACGAAAATGATGTTTTTGTGTCACGATGGCTGCACGGAGACTCCGCGGGCCCGTTCCGGCCCAAGGTAAGTCGAGATGACGGTGATGTAGCTGGTTTTCGTAAACGCGTCGAGAAGAGAAACACGTTCTCTGGGTTTGATTACTATAACGTAGTCCTCGGGAGCAGTTTCCAGCGCTGAACACGGCTTCCACTTCGTGGATGCCTTCTCCTTGCGTCCCGTGGCGCGCGTCGCAGGAGGGTTCGTGTTGTCAATTAACGAGCCGGCGGCAGGAGTGGCATCAGATGCCGTCGTCTTGGCTTTACACTGGGAGCGGCGTTCCGCTGCTTGAATCAAGCCTTGGCTCAGAATTTTCGGAGACATTGTCAAACTTCGGTCACTGTTGGTGGGGACTGAGGTCCACGCCATCGCCTCATAGCCATATCAGCGTAGTTTGAGTGCGGAGTCAGCGATGTTTCAGGCAAAGGGCCCTTTCACCGGACCGAGCGCCGGCTTAACACGGTGCCTAGGTGGT